TTTAATAAATGTTTTGTTTTGATATATAAGTTGTGGTCAGGTTTTTTCATCTAAAAAAAGTGACATTAACTTCTTGATGATCTAACATATAGGTGACTAGTGAGTGCAAGTTAAATAGTAGAGAAAAAACAAGTGAGAGATAATTAGATCTAAACTGAGTGATTAACAGTTTAGCCACGATGGGCAATTTCTAAAGAAGATAATAAGTGAAGTTCAGTCAGAAAAAAGTTAGAAAACATGAAGTTAGCCAGCATGTAAGTGATCAGCCTTAATGGGTGATTTCTATGGTGTTTCACAGCTGTATTGTAACAACAGAGATAGCAAAAATAATCTGTCTTGTCAATTGGGTTTTAAAGTAACTGAACCAGCCTGTGTTGACTTTTGCTGAAAAAAAAAAGCCAATTATTTAAAGTTCTGGATACAACTGTGGTAACCAATAAAAGAAGTGAAGTCAGAAAATGTTAAGTTAGTAAAAGTGAAGTCAGACTGCATGATTGTCAGTTTAACTGTAACAGGAGATATTTTAAAGTGAGATTAACAGAGCTAAGGGGAATAATTTGTTTTGTGAAAGGGTGTTCTGAAGCAATTGAACCTGCCTGTGTGGGCTTTGTCAAAAAGGAGACAATTATTTAAGGTTCAAGATACAACTGTGGTAACACATGAGGTAATGTAATTGAATTATTCACTGGTACTATTGTGATAATAGTAAAGAAAAATAATTTGTTTTGTTAGTTGGATTCTAAAGTAATTGAATCACAATGTGTGGACTTTTGACAAGAAAGGATCATTATTTAGTTTTAGATACAACTGTGATATCATATAGTGTAAAGAATCTTTGTACATACGTTTTGACTTGATTTGAATATATTATTATAAAAGAAGTGGATTATGTACTGTTCGTTTATTGTTCAAATTTATTGCCAACAAGTCACAGACACCTACTGTAGAAGAATCCTAGCCCACTCATATTTAAAATCATGACAGTGTTTTACTGTTTTATACAAAGAGTCCAGTCTTTTTCTTTTCTCCAGACTTAGTTGAGGTCAGAGAATTCAGATTTTTGCTCCAAAAGATATTTTCTCATGTTTTTCTGGAATTCCTCCCCAGTTACTTGCAGGAAAATCAGTGATAATGAGAATATTGCAGCATTGAGAATGGTGCTGTAAGAAAGCATGTGTTTATAACTATGATCAAAACTCTTTTTACGTGTCCATATAAGTTCCTATAAACATGTATGTATTGAAGTTTCACTGATTCTAATTTGTTCATTTTCAAAGCGGCTGCTGTCACAATCTTCCCTAGTCAGTTACCTCCCAGGCCACGAGACAAAAGTCAACTTTGTTCTGATCCAAGGTTTGCCTGCCAAGATTTACATTCTGCACATCATTGTGATAGTGTCAAGATCTGCATCCCAGAAGTGTGGGAAAAAATAAAACTCCCCAAAGCAAATGTAAGTGTTGTGTATGTAATGTCATAATCTTAGAAAAGAATATAACTTGCAGGTGTCATAAACAGACACTTTAAATTAATGTCTGAAAAAACAACAAGAAAACTTATTAATAATAACACCTGGAAATGAAATATGTACACCAGTTTATGTAAGTTATATTTTTTTGGGAAAGTTATTTTCTTTGGAAAGTTAGGTTTTCTTTTTTATTTCATCCTGTATAAGAATCCATATCTATTATGTTTTTATAGAATGGTTTTTGAAAACATTAAAATAAGCAACATGTAAATTATTAGTCTTTTTAAAGTTTTAAAAATACAAACAAGTATTATGAATCTCTCTGTAGATAATTACATTTCCTTAAGTTTGAGATTTAAACTGAAATGATTGATAAACCTGAAAAATGGTCACTTCTGTTGTACCTATTCATGCTGATTCTAACTCTGACATTAACATGTGTTTAAAATTTTTGGACATTGATGAATGTATGATCATGTTGCTGTAAGGATGTGCTTAGTTTATTTTTTCATGTGTATTTTTGGTCAAATAAAAAAAAATTAACTTTTTTCACTCTTGCATTTTACTACATATAGAATGAAGTGTGTGACATATGTAAAGATATGGTCAAACAAGCCCGAGACCAGCTTCTCAGCAACGAAACTCAGGTGAGCTTCTTTTCTTGTATCATTATTATCTGGGTTTCAGGTTCATTTGATTTTCTCTTCCATAATTATTTACTGATCTGTTAGTATCTATTGAATGAGTAAAGTATACATATTATATAAAAGTTGGTAAGTTAGTCTTTCATGCTCTTTTAAAAGACAAATAAAGCTAGTGCTTAACTTTAGTTTCCTGTGACCCAAGCAGGAGAAAATGGTGATTCATTTCTTGTGGGTGGGTTGACAATTCATCAAAGGTGCTCTTTATACAGCTGGGTAAACTGAAGCAATTGGGGTAAAGTATCTTGCATAAGGATACAACAGCATATCACGGATGATCCTCAAACCTACAACTTTTCAGCTACAAGTCAAAAGCACTAAATGCTAGGCCACACTGACTCCATGTATATAGTGTATGTGTGTATACATATATATAGTATTAGAAATTTGTAATTACATTATATATCATCATAGACTAACAGATTTTTAGTGTCTTAATTCTATCATAAAGATATACTTGATTATATATATATATATCATGACCAGAATTGTATAGGACCATTTAACTTTTATAAATGTGCTGACATCAATTTTTAAATTCTAAAAGATATATTTTGTTATTGATATATTATATCTTATATAATTGGAAAAGTAAGTTAAATTTGTAATAGATAGATTCTGAAACTTAAAAGAAATGTCCATCAACAGAAATGTTTTGTTCAATGATACGATTTGTGGAAGGTATGTTCTGTATGCATGTGTTTATATATACTCGAAGAAAGAGTTAACAATAAGTGATTTTTCTTTTGAGTTTGTAGCTATCTTTAGATATAATTTTTCTGCCTCTTCTTAGGAAGAACTTAAAGAAGTTTTTGAGGGCTCTTGCAACTTAATTCCAGTGAAAGTATTGGCAGCTGAGGTATGGATATTTGAATACGTTATTGTATGTCTACCATATAGATGGAAATTACTAAATGGTTAATGGTAAAGGAATGGTTATTTTTCAAAACTGCATTTATATTTATGATACTTAAAAAGTAGATAAATCACAAACTAAAACAAATAAGCTAAACATTTTATGAAGGTAAATCATTATCCTTGACAGTGGAATAACTTTTGTTTTAAGTGTATTTTTTTATAACGATAGTAACAATTTTTCTTAACTTTTTTCCTAGTTCAGGGCTTGAAATTTGTAATTTAGTGCTTATGTTTTGCAAGTAGAATACTACTAGATGAAAGTGAAGTCAGCTAACAAATTGTGTTGTGTGAAAGTAAGTTCTATGGCCAAAATTTTTCCAAAAGTCAATATAAGCCTCAAACTTGACTGTCATTTGTTCTTTACGACGACGAGTGAGAAGTGGTCTATGAAAACCCTTCTGATTGGTCAGTATTCACACAAGCAAACAATAATGGGCTACCTTTCATGTGGTTGAAATCACATTCACACATACAATGTTTTTTTATCAGATGTACTTTTACAGTAGGCTTTCATGCATCAAATTGAAAGAGCTATAATGTAAAAAAATATCAAAATCAGCAAACAGTACTGGATTTCTGCAAGAAATCTGTTATGAATGGAAGTAAGTTAAGTATGACCAAGTAAATGTAATGAATTAATAGTACTAGTGACCTGATAGCTTGATCCATATGCAGGCAAAATAATTTGCAGTCTTGTTTCCAGATTTGTATATAATGTTGTTTACTAAAAGAACCTACCATAATCTGTAATTCTTTGTTTAATATAAATTTTCTTCCTACAAAAGATAATGGTCTTTTCCTTGTATTTTTCCATATTCATACAGACTGCAGTACTATTACCACTTGGTATTATGGTCCACTCCCAGTTGCTTCTTTTAGAAAAGCTACAAGGCCTAATGTAAATTTAATTTTTCAGGGGCAGTGCAAACAAACATATTCTGGTGCAGGTAAAAATGTTACCTTTAGTTGCATCTGGCACAATCAATTTAATTGGTAATTTCTAACCCTGTAGTTCTTCGTAAAAGTATTAAAAAGCTTTCTTGCCAATTTTTCATTTAGATTTATTATGTAGTTAATGGTCATTGATTGTAAACTTTAAGTGTGAAATAACATTTCTTAATTTAAATCATGATTGTATTCATTTATAAAATTTTTATAGAAGTCTTCAAAATTATAAACAATCAGTTGGTTAAACTGTGTGTTTGATGTTTGGTATTACATTAATAAAATGTATTTTCTTTTCTGATCAGTGTAGAAAGCTAGTTGACGACTACATTCCTGACCTAGTTGACATGCTGGCTTCCAGAATGGTAAGTTTCCAATGTTTTGTATTTTTCTTCCCTTCAACCAAGGCTTGAATGTAATGTCTTAGTTTCTTATAAGTCGTGTACTTTTAGAGCAACTTATTTACCTAAAACCTAAACACAATAAGTAATACATATTTTACATATATAGATGCCAAAATAACTTTTTCTGGTATTTTCTAATTAAAGAATGTGGATGCACTTTGTTTTCAGATTCAAGGTTTATGATGGAAGTGAGCAATTAGGATTTGATTTAAACTTGAAAGATGGCCTACATCTTCTAGCATTGTTTCTTGTTATTAATTTTATGCTTCTCTTCGCAGAAAACTGAACTTGCTTGATAATCACTGTATCACAGAAAAATAAATGTTCTTGGTAATCATTCTGAAATTAAACCTCAACCTTTAGCTTTGCTGTTTAACCTTTTTGCATTGGTTAGATCAAAGTGCATGTGTCACAACCTTTTACACAGTTGCATTCAAAACTTAAACTACTTTATTATCAATGTATATGAATAAACTTAACATCAAAATGTAGTTTATAAATCAAATTTTAATATTATTTAACCTTTAAGTTCTTAATTTTATAAGGAGATAATTAAAATATTCTCAATCTCCACTATTATGAGAATTGTGGCATCTGTTCCCTAGGTTCTGTTCTTCTCTAATTTATTTATCACTCCTTCAACAAGTTCAAAATTTAATGTAAATTACTCATAATATAGTTATTACTCAGGCAAGGGATAAACTTTATAGTCTTTAATCTTGTTTAGTTTCAGAGCCATAAACTAGAAAATGAGACCCTTCCTGCTATGCTCACCTAACACATTCTCTTTTTTACAAATTGCAAATAATTCTCTCTGTCTCTTAACACTATATTTATAGCCAATAGAAAGCAGAAGTTTTAATATACCAATTGACGCATTATATTGCATTGATTTCTGTACAGAGAATTGTCTATTTCACTCCAGTTCAAATTTTATACCTATGTGAAACACATTGATGAACTTAGTTGAATTTTTAAGGGCTCTTATCGCTTAGTTAGAAAGCCAGAACATTAATGAAAGTTATAGGACATTTTCTGGTTTTTATGTGTTAGTATTCTGTGTTCTTAGGTGTATCATTTAATCAAATAAAAAAAAGAATTAGTGCAGTAGCACCATTAGTATAAAAAACAAGTAGGGTTAAGTTTCATCGATAGTCAATAGCGAAAAAAAGACCCAGTAAGTACTATATTTTTTGTTTTTCCTATGTATTCTTTATCTCATTATAAAATTAACTAAAATGTAAAAATTAGAAACTTATTAGGTTAAATTACATAAAAAAAATAATAAATGTTTCACAAGGTATGCTTGTGAGTGGCCTGTGTGTTATGTAATTTGATAGAGTAACATGAGGTACACGTTTGCTGAATGATTTACAACTTGTGTGGCAAGATTATACTTTTACAATTTATAGAAAACATGCCAAATTTTGTGAACATACATTAAATACTTTCACAGTCATAGTATGTATACCACCATGGTTATAAGGTCGTGTAAAACATGACTCCCATTCTGATAGGGTTTAATAGTTTATACTGGTATGGAAGATGTTTCTCTTTTTTTTTTTAACTTTTAAGAATATTTAGCAGTATAAGAGTTCATTAAGATAATATAATTGTACCAACCTGTTTGAGAGAGAAAGAGTGGTTGTACATGTATATGATATATCCTCACTTTTGGTAAGATGAATTAACTCTTTCAGTATGGGCTTGGTTCCTGGGACAGACCTTATAACCATTTTGTGCTATAACTTTTAAATTAGTAAGCATATGTTGATGAAATTTGGCAGATTATCAGTAAACATTACAATGTTTTCCTACACAAAATATTTTTTTTAAATTAAGTCTTAAGGTTTGTAAAGCAATATTTTTCTCATGCCTTTTTGTTTTCTCTTCACATGTTGCCTATCCAACATGCAAATTAATTTTCATTTTAAGATTAAAAAACTTTTTTGCATCAGAAAATTTTCAAATTTCACAATCAAAATCTTTATAATGTCCAGATAGTTATCAAAGGTTTCATAAGAAAAACACTTTATATTTTATCTGTTATTTTCAGTACAGGTTTGGTTGATTTGATGGATCTCATAACCACATTAAAAAAAAATAAAAAAAGTAAATATCAATTATGCCTTTTTGGTCCTAGAATGACTACAAATTATAACACACACATAAATGTTTAGACTAGATAGCTTAAATCTCATAACATTATACATTTATATGTATTTATTATTTATGAAATAATAGTTCAATAAAATTTTGAATGCGAGTCAACAAACGAGATAACATGGCCTTTCACCCATGACCTGTCTGGAAAGGGTTAATGGATAATGTGATTCAATTTAGAAAAACTGGCCAATATGAAAAGCACTAAAATTATAGTTGATTAAATATTGTAAATCTCTTAGTTCATGCAAAAGTAAGAATTTTCTGATCAATTTAAATTTGAAAGCTTTTTAAAAACAGGTCATACATATTTTTCGCTCCTATTTTTAAAAAAAGTGAAATGAAGAAACACATTAAACAACATTTGTCACATGCTTTATCATTGTGGTGCTACACACAAGTTATCATGTATACTAATAACTGACTAACCTGTTTGAGAGAAGAATGGGAAAGAAAACAACAACAGGATTCTTCATACACGTTCTCACTATCATGGTTGTACTATACTGCCATAGAAGCTGTGATGCTGACTGATCTATTTGGAAGAAGAGTAGATACAAACTAATGGTAATATTTCATTTCTTTAGGATCCTCAAACCGTTTGCACAGTGGCTGGCTTGTGTCCTTTTGTTTCATTGAGGCAAATTATTCATGTAAGTATTTGTGTAGTGATGAAATGCAATTGTGGAAATTATTTTATCATATAGGCCTATGCTGAATTAGGATAAGGAGTTTATGGTTTTCAGATAAGTGTTAATGTTGAAAACACACTTTAGATATTCATGTATAAAGCTTTCTAAAGAAATCATTTGTTTGATATGTTTATAGTAATTTCAATGGACAACTGTTTCCATCTGTATTCTGATGTTTGTGAAAAAAAAAAATCACAAACTGCAGATGATTGTTTTTCCACTTTCCTTTGAGTTTGTCTATTTTGGATTCAAAATCTATTTAATAATATGCTTGTTCATGTTACGGAAATGATGTCTGCGTGCATGCATATTTAGATAGTAAGATGTGTGTGCATTATCAAGACAGACAAAAACTGAGTATTATTCTAATATACTAGGAAAGACATATGTGCTCAGATTAGTGTCTTTATAGCAACAGTACTTCTTTAAATACAGAATTTCTAGAATAATACAAAATAATTCTAATTGCAGTCACCAAAATCTTGTCATACTATAATTCTGCTGTTGATACATGTTATAAGCATGTGCAGTAGGAATTTTACCCAGAAAAACAGTGCAAGTGCCTGCGTGTGCCAGAAAGCTGCAAAGCTCAACGAACAAGTCACTACAACTGATCTGTAAATGAAGGAATAACAAAAAAGGTGGATGTAAATATTCTTTATTAGCCATTCAGGACAATAACATAAAAAGCTTGAAGTTTTCAAAAAGGTCTGTTAGGTCCTAGAATAACATTATAAGTTTATTTATAGATAGTATTAAGAGAGTACAATATAGTTAATTGGTAGTGTTAATTTATATCTTTATTAGCCACTCAGGACAATAACATAAAAAGCTTGAAGTTTTCAAAAAGGTCTGTTAGGTCCTAGAATAACATTATAAGTTTATTTATAGATAGTATTAAGAGAGTACAATATAGTTAATTGGTAGTGTTAATTTATATCTTTATTGAACTTAGGCCTAACATTATTTAAGGTTTTATAAAGTACAACTCAAATACAAGTGGAATTACAGATTTCGGTGTCTATGATTACATTTCCTCAATTATTCTACAAATCTTTTATTTAAAGAAATACTGTTGCAGTAAAGATACTGTTGCGTCAGCGAGTCACATGACTAGTGTGACGCCACTTTCTAGAACTATCCCGTACCTTGGCGAATGCTCTAGTATTTACTAGATATAGGGTAGTCTGGTATATAAAAGAGGGTGACAACGTGACGGGAGAGAATAATGTAATGTGTGTGTGTAGGTAATGAGTAATTGAACTGCGGTCAGAGAGAGACGTATTGTTGAAGTTAATGTTCGTTCGTTATAGTGTTTGTTTTAGCGCAAATATTGAAATTAAGTGTATCGTAAAGTTATATTCGAAAAGAATAAACCAGTTTTATTAAGTAAAGACTTGTGTCGTTAAAGTTTCGTCGGAACGAAGTTACGGAAAAATCAATTAACAAACGGAGACGTAACAATACTAAGTTGACAGCAAACATTCTGCGGGTCCACTATTTAGTTTATAATGCTTTACCAGCTTTCAGCATTTGAACCTTAACTTTAAATTTATTATACTGCATATATATAAAATGTTTCAGAGAATCAATTGTCTCCCATCCTCCAACCCAACTGACGAGTTTTAGTTTTGAACTAAAGGCCTCTTGATAATGAATTGTGAGAGGAAAAAGAAAGATCTGATTTTTACATGCCTCTGGTTTTGAATCTGAAATGGACATACTAATACAAATGTGAGGGGGGACATCTGCAGTTTGTTATTTTTATCACTGGTTTCTAATGCTTTGTTAGCTATCACAATTTAAACCATAGTTTTTAAAATATTTGTCTAGTTTATTTGTAACATTTGGAACCTAACTAATGATATCCTACAGTGAAAGCTAAATAGTAAACTTCTTAATGTAAGAAAAGCAAAAAAAATAGTATGTTTGCTTAGAAGAGTAAATGACAAATTCTGTTTATACAAAATGAAAAGTTGCTCTTCATACAAACTGTTGTTAATAACATATAGGTAAAATTCAGGTTAAGCATGTGCATGCACACACATATGTCAAAATTCAGTTTGTTTTTGAATGAGATCATGGTAGATAATTCTGTGAAAACAAGTTAGTAGTACAAATTAACTCCTTAAACCTAAGTGAATACTGTCAGCATCCAGCGAAAAATCCTAATTTGTCCATTGGATGGTGACAGTATTTGATGACATTTATGTCTCTTTGGCTGAAAACTAATTCAAACCACGTCATTATCCATAAGATTAAGAAAATTGAAATTTTATAAAGTATGGTGTAATTATTAAGAAATCATGAAAATAATTTTGCCAGAATGTGCAAAACATTACAGGTTTGATGGGGTAATCACTGAAAATCCTCAATCACTAGTATTTAGTAAGCACTAATTAGCAAATGCAGAAGCATTGTTATAATGTAATTTGTGAAGATGTGTAAATAATTTATTTTTGGTAGTCTTACTTGAATAACACAAAGAAATCAATTTTTTATGTGTGCTATTCTTTTAATAAGTCCATTTATGTGTCTGCTTTATTAATATGAAACCATTAAAAAGCACAGTGTCTTGGGAAGTCTTGTTGAATTTTTGAACTTTTTATTTTTGTAAGGAACCTGAATTTGGCTCTGTTTTTTACATGTGTATAAGATTAATAAATGAACAAAATGAAAAAAATATTTGGAATGAAGAAAACTAAAGGAAGTTAGGTTGAGTGTGTACACATGCATACATTCATAATACATCTGTGATATTAAGTTTGTATGAAGGGTTCTTATTTTGATCAGAATTCAGAGTATGTGCTTGTTTCATAAAGAAACCATTGATTTTCATCAGGAACAGCAGGAGCAAGGACAAATAACTAATCTTATTGAAACAAAAGCCAGGGTTCAGCAGAAAGATTGTCATTTTTGTAAAGACATAGTGAGTTTCATCAAAGAAATAGCAGAATCTGTATCTGAGGTAAGAAGACTTAATAAAGGTTTCTGGTTAATAGAATAGTGTTTTTCTCCAACTATACTGTTGGAGCTCAACAGTATATTTAAGAACTCAAATCTAAGTTTAAAGACACTGTGAAACCACTTATTTGTGGTAAAGAAGGTAGGGTTTTTTATGTTGATATCCTAGGTGATTTTATCACCAAAAAAAATCAATATTTTTTTATAGTGCTCACACTAACATAATTTAAAGGTGACCTTTAAGCTATTGATGGATTGAGTTATTCTTTTGATATTTCAGTGCAACATAGTACTTAATAAGTTAGTTGTTGAAATTACGTAGTTTGTGTAATACATTGTTGTTATTTAAATTCCAGTAATTTGTAACTATATATTATGATTACTTGTGCATATAGATTGTAACATTAGAATTTTTAAGACAAGAAAAATTATGTTACCCAAAAGCAAAAGCTGAGGAGTGATCAAGTACTACTTTTAGGAATTTCAAAAAAATATTTTGGAATAATATTTTAACCTTTTTGCAATATAAATATGTTTATGTGTATTTTTTCTGTTTTTTTTTCTTTCTAATATTAGATAAAAACAATTTTTTCCTTAACAAACTAAAAGGTATGCATCATATGCAGAATGCATGTAAAGTAGCTATTCAGTTGTACTACATGAATTTTGCAGATTTGCAAGCATATACAAAACACCTTTTATGAACTTCATTTGCAAAGTGTATTTAATACATGCAACTTTCATAACCTGTTCAAGCCTGCAAAAGTTTTGCAAAATATCTACAGGTTATCCTGAGCAGTTTATTTTATCTTTACTGTGAACAATTTGGATGGGATGTTTTATGTTGTTTATTTGCAAGTAACGGGCTATTTTCAATGTTTGGATTACACACCTTTAATAGAGAAAATATTTTGTATATGTACAGTTTGTAACATGTTTACAGATTTTGTTTCATCTAACAAACTTTCATAGTTCACTGTCTTTTAACCCAAGATGCTCTGCCCTTTCTACCCATTTATCAAAATCACCTGACATGGCTATATAGGGTAATTGTAATCTCTACACTATTTGTGCTATTACTACTACAGTTGTGCGTATATGTACAGGCCTACTTATTTCTGCAGTCGTTCATGTTATCTTCTACTGCCATTTACCCCTGTATAATCATGGCTGTAGCTCGCCAATTGTCAAGAACTTATTTTTTTATGTTATATATAGTAAGTAAATATATGGGTGTGTGTTGGGCTAAGGATTCTTCTAGAGTAGGTGTCTGTGTGTTGTTGGCCATGAATTCAACAATAAATGAACAGCACTCATTCTGCTTGTTTTTAAATAATATATTCAAAACAAGTTAAATATGTACAAAAAATTCTTTACACTATGTATATCATAGATGTATCTTAAGTACCATACAGCTCTTTTTGTCAAAAGTCCACTTAGACCAATTCAAGTGCTTTAGAATTTAGTTGACAAGCCGAACTATCTTCCTGTACTTTTATCTTACACTATCAGTATATAATTCACTTATTCCTTTTCCTCTTTTATCACAACAGTATCAGTGCATAATTCACTTATGTTGTTGATGATTTACTGCAGTTGTATCCTGAACTTCCGATACTCGTCTCGTTTTTTGTATTTAGGCCTACTTCCAATAAATATCTCCTTTTTGCATATAGGACTACTTTTAAATAATCATCTGCTTTTTGTCAAAATCCACACAGGCAAGTTCAATTACTTTAGAACACCCTTTGATGAGACATAATTCTCCTAAAATGTCAAACTGTTAATTTCACCTTAACATATCAACCATCAGGCTAATCACTCCTATGACGGTTATCTTTGCATTTTGTAATCACTGACCTTTCACTCGGCTCTCCTCCCACTCTCTGGTTTCTCGTCTGGTCACCATTATTTATATCTCTCCCTGAGGCATTCTAAAAATCTCCATACTTCGACATCAATAACTTACAAACACAACTTCCAATAATTGTCTGCTTTTAATTCTCTTATTATGAAAAAAAACTAAACGGTGATAAAATATCAACTCACAAAATAAATTAATTAATACTACCTACACTAAACAGTCTTTTATATCTGACAGGCTTTAACTGTGGATTTTCTGTTCCATAGTCCAGGAATTTAACCACTAGCCTACTTTTTCTCCCATTCCTCTAATAGACTTTCAAATCTGGATCAATTAGATTTATTGATTTACAGCTGCACTTAGACCTCAGATTATGCCGAGAGTCACTTATCACAGCTAGATAGCTTTGTTTAAATAAATAAGTTACAAGCACAACATGAATGAATTACAAACACACCTCCCACACGAAGTATACTATGATATTGACAATTGCAATAATTTATATAATTTTTCTCATTTAAATTTTCTTATCTAACCTAATAAGTTTTTAATTTTTATATTTTACTTACTTTTATAACAAATAAAAAATCACACACACACACACAAATTTTTAAATTTATTTTTGTTGTCAAAAGGCAAAGTACTGTGGGCCTGTTTTTTGTAATGATGCTTTTGATCCAAAATATTCTAAACGCTAATTTCAAATATGAAACTTAGCACACAAAACATTATCGTGCAAAAAATGTAGAATATCCTAAAACTACTATAATTTAACTGGCTCTCTAACTAAGCTACAAATATGTTTAAAAAGTTCCATTAGCCAGTCAGAGCTCAACAGTAACAGTCACAAACATTCTGAAGCAAATTATATGCCAAAAGAAGGAATCTTTAATTGTTTATTGTAGAGAACAAATTCTATTGGTTATAAAGATGTCTATAAAAGAAGGAAATATCGTATAGATAAATTTGTTCAAAACTATGACAAGATTGGAAGAACCTCAGTGGTGAATGTCACAAATTTATCTCGCTGATTTAAGAAGGTGGGAAGTTTAAATTTTATATTATGACTTTGCAATGTTTATAGTTTGAGTTTGTAATTGGTTGGCTTCTTTGTCTGCCTTAGAAAGGAATGGAGAAAATTAAATATGAGAATCAATATGAGATGTGGCATGTGACACACAAGTCAAGATTAAAAATTTATTTAAATACTTCTTTTTGAAATTTAGAAATTAAATGTTAGATAGTATAAAACTAAATTATAAACTGTGTTTTATGTTAAACACACATTTTGAAGGTTCTAGAGGTTATGCAAATAAAATATGTAAACTGTACAAAGGACAAAAGTATTACCTTGCACTCCAAATTTTCAGAAATCTGAATCAGACTGATGTTTTAGATTCACAGACCAATCTTGAGTGCAAATGCTTATGTAATACATTTGATTTTTTTGTGTACAAGAGACTTGTATGTTTTTCTCAAAGCTTGCCAGATTCTGTGTAGATATACATAGTAAATTCGAAATTATAGTCAACAATTCTTTTCCAATACTGGGTTAGTCCAATGGATCAGATTCGTTCCCATTTGTAAAGAATCATGTTTGACTACACAATTTTTCTCTTTTATTATTTTTAATTACTACAGATTAAGAAGAATTATGCTAGTGTTTAGCTTTCTGCACTGTAGAGCAGAAAATTTAAGGTTAGAGCCATTGAACACACTATATACTTTCACTTGTAGGCTTCATAATTGTGTCAATCACTCCAGCTATTTGCTTAAGAGTAGCCATGTAGGCAGAGGGTACTGCTGACCAGTTAAATTTTTTTAACCTTGAGGACTTCTGACCTGTTTATACATGTGTGTGGTAATGTGCTGCTCAAGTTAAAAATACCAATATTGTGAGATAAACATATTTCAGTAGTGATTTTAATTACTTTTCTTAAGCTTCTTGGAAGCCACTGTTTTGTCATTTTAAGTTTATACTACTGAATTAGTTAATTCTTGACTGTATATTAATGCTCTGTGGAAAATGATTTTCAGGAAGAACTTGTTAATGCTGTAATGAAGTTCTGTGTTCAAGATCTCGCAAAATCTGAATCTGAAGTAAGTCAAACATTTTGCAATGTAAAACCTAAAAATGGTTTCTAGTAATTTTTTTACTGAAGCATGGTGACACAGAGCAGTATTGAGCATTGTGTAAGATAAAGAAATAAGATGAGATGTTGTTGAGTTGATAATGGATGTGTGTTTGGGTGTGTAATGGAAAGAGAAAAGAGCAAATGGTGATAGAGCTGCACATATACCAGACTTCACACACATTTAAGTAGATCTACATTGCTGTAGCTTCATCTTGTTTAATGTATACTTTCCATTTCATTTTAGAAATAATTCTTATTGGTCTGTTAGCATGCATAATTAGTATTTTTTCTATATAAATTGTTGATTTTTGTTGTACATATTTGAGTGAATTATTTTTATGATTTGTTATTGTGACATATCAAAATTGTTTGTGCACAATTTTTTTCTTTATTGTTGTGTTTATATATAATTTAACTTTTAATGCCTTATTTTTTGGTTTGTATGTTTTCAAAGAAATTGTAGCAAAAAGAATTATGTATTACTACATTTTTGAATACTGAATAGCTAAATCGTATCACTGTTCGTGATGATCTGGGTGAAAATTGTCCAAAAGTAATGAACACTAATAGAAAGCTAATCAATTTGTTTAACTCTAAATGTTTTCTGGTATATTAATGTTTAAGGTTAATTAAGATATAACACTCAATTAAGCAAAAAATAATGCTCTTCATATTATGGATAAAATCTTGAATTATATTTTTGAGAAGCTGAATTTTATTAATACAAATGAGGTTTTTTAAAAATTCTAAGAAAAGTATACTGTATAACGTTTTCACTATCTAATGTTTCAATAAGATCTCTAAACTAGAGAAAATGTTCAAATAATTTTTGAGAACAATTTCATTGAGAAATAGTTAATAATTTTTTATAAGGGTAGTTATGTTTTACCAAATCTTTAAGACAGCTAGAAGAGAACTACTTTACACACACATACACACAAACAAAAAATATGTCTTTGTTTAATGTATTAGTATCATCCAGACCTATGCTGTTCACATCCTCCCTCTCATCATTACCATTTCTTAGCAATGTTGTTTTGCCTATAAAGACCATTTGTTGAATTTTTGATATGTGTGGAAGGCAAAACATTGTGGAAAAAAAACTAGTATATTGAACACCATGAGCATATACCAATGGGCTGCCATTGTTTTCATCCAGAAATTAACCAGAAAGTGACAGTAATTTGTAAATTTGAAATGTATAATTCTCTGCTTTTCTGAAGGTTGATGGCATTTTGAAATACAGTATACCCTAATTCTGGTCAGTGCATTATATGTCTGTTAAGTGTTGCACATGGAACACAATAATAATTAAAAAAAATTTTGTAAGTTAATTTGAAATTGCATTTTTAATGAGTTAATTTTCTTTACTATATTTGATAAATAACTGAATAATGTTTGATGGCTGGTTCACAAAGTCTCATGTTTTTGCACTTCTGCACTTTAACTTGATTCACTATGTATATGAATGGCTACAATTAAAAGAAAATGAATAACAGGATGTGAAAGAGTAATAAAAATGTTAATTATATTTGTTTTACAATTATACAGGATATTGTTTTTTTTATAATAAATGTGTTATGAAAAAATAGCTTTCACAAAATAATTTGACTAAAATTATGTTGCTGTTTTTTTTATGTATATGCTGATTTGTATTGCTACTCATTCAGTGTTGCATATGTGAAACGCCCATGTATGCAAGACTTTTTTTAGCTGTTTAAGACTGCTAGCTATATACATAAATATAATCTAGTTCTGTGCTGATTTTTTGTAACTTAACTAATGATTGTGCAGCTATTTTGTATCCCAGTTTCATTATCCAATCTTTAAGTGTTTGAAGTTTGTTTTGTTTAATTCTGTGAGTCCCCAGTTCTCTTGTGTAAAGGCTTTTTAGAATCCCTGCTGATTTCCTCTGTCTTCTGAGAAGTCAAAGTCACAAGGAAGATTGACATACAATGCATTTTTCTTTTATAGGTAGGTTTTACTTGTGATTTGTTAGTTTTTTGTACAAATTTTGTAATTGTGTCTGAATGTGCACAATGTTTTAATGAAAAAAGCACCAGTCTGTGGTATCTCTTGGATAACCAACAGAGCATAGAAATCAGGCCACTAAATACATGGATCTTGGGTTTTAATGTGTATTTCCCTTGAAGTTGCAATAGTTAAACAGTTAGAGACAAAACACACTAATAACAAGTTTAATAACTCACAATTTATAGTATAATACACAATAATAGGTCAAGTGTGGAGCTGATTAGAGCTAGTGAAGACTTTAATAAACAATAAACTCTTGTTAGTTTCAGCACTTCCCACTTGTGAGTTACACTAAGTAAAAAGAAGAAAACACTAAATGAAAAGTACCCCAATTTATGTTAAGTATCACTGATAAACTGAGCCATAAATATCTTTTATGCAGTCCAAGATCCTAGCATAGATTTCAAGATGAAACTTCAAATTTTTAAACTCTAAGGTATTTCACTCTTAATGTGAAAGGACTTTAACCTCGTTCAATTCACTTCTGTGCCAAAAGTATTGGAAAAACAGCAGATATTGAAGGTCTCTGCTGAATAATTACAGATGGAACCAATCAAAAGGAACCATAATTTCTTCTGCCACACCAATTTTGGGGAAATAAAAAAAAAGATTGACCTCTTGAGCCCCCCAAACATAAACTTTAACTCAATTAGCTTCAACCTTTTATTGCACAAAATCCCATCATTGGTGCATATTAGTTTATCTAGCTAGTGGGATGACCTGCAGCTGTTGTCTGATTTGTCACAAAAAAAGTGACTTAAGTCATTAATTAAATGATACACTATTCATGTAAGAGAACCAAACAGTCTGTTATTTACATGCAACCCTCCTCTTGCCACTTAGATAAAGCTAGTAACTCATTGTGTCTGAAAAGGAAACTATGAAAAGTAACAATTTTAGAAATTTTAGATTTGAACTAAAGTAGAAAGTGTATGGTATGTCTCTGTACTAAGTCTAAGAGGAAGTACTGATAGGCTATCTAAGTGGAAGACCAAAGTAAATTTTACATTTAATTCATCTGTTTAACAGACTTCCAGTTTTGAGTTATGCAGTATTGTTAAGTATGTATTCAATATTTTTCCATGTTTGTTGTGTATTTTAAGCAGTATTGTACTCTTTTGTAAATTTTTCTTGATAAATAAAAGACTTAAAAGAAGTTTGTCAAGTTACTTGTATTTAACATGCTTAGTTTAATATAGTACTTTATGCTGTTGTATTATATTTTCTTTTCTTTTGGTCAATCTAACATATAATTCATTTACTTTCAGTAAATAGATGTTGAGTATTGGAATATTAAACTTATATAATACATAGTGTTATTTGCACATCAGGTAACATATACATAATTATTTTCAGCTATTTTATTTTATGGATTTCTATAGAAAAATACATAATTTACACCTTCTTAAAACATTTTTTGATGGAATATGTGTAAACTAAACTCCCTGAACTGAGAATGCAGATAAATGAAAATTATTTATGTAGTCATTCTTTTTTAAAAGCCATATAATTTTGTCAAGGGGGAGGGGAATTTTCAGTTGAGCAACAGCAATTTTTTTTTATCAACAAACCTCACACTGCACAGTATTGAAATATGTATCTAAAGAGGCATGCATAGTGGCAAAAAAAAGTCTTTAGCTTTGATTTACACAATTCTTAATCCATAACTTGAGCTATGAAACTAGAATTCAAAAAGATTAATATGTTCTGTTTGTTTGAGCTATAACTTTCATATATAATATCAAATTGGTTAGACAAGCAAAATCACAGTGACGTGTTCATTAAATTGATCTCAGAAGGCTGTTATGAGGAATTTATAATAGAAGTATATTTTGTATCTTAGAGCCTATAGTGCCAATCTGTGGATCCAAGTGTCCATGGTTTACATCTCATGGCTAAAAAAAAGAATGTGTTCAGCACTTTGTGGCAGTTAGTGATTTATGAGAGTGGAATTCAAATCTTATAAGTTGATTAGAGCAGCTTAAGAGTCAGTGGTGAATGCTGTTGACTAACTACCTTCCTTCTATCTTGTCAGTTTAAAAGTAGGGTTGGTTAGTACAGTTAGCCATTATGTAGCTTTGCACAAATATTCAAAACAAACAAGACAATATTTTGTATCTTCTGATAACTGCAACAGACTTCCTTGGAATGTCGTATGTATTTTCTAGCTGACCACTATATTTTTTTACATTAAGATTAAACTTTCAGAAATTGGAGAGTTCTTTGAAGTTATATGATTGATGTTTTTTTAAAACATTATATTCAATTTTATAATATTAAATTTTGCTTCATATTTTGCAGTGTGCCATTATTGCTGAAGTTGCAGTAGTATTTAGAAAATTTGTTAAGGATATGGTAAGTCTTTATTGAAATAATACAAAACATTTATTTTGTGCATGTTTATATTTGTTGATAGGATTATTTGTTCTTGAATACAACCAACAAAAGTGTGACTATCTGAGGAGGAGAATTTGCACAAAATATTGTAAAAAAAAAAGAAAAAGTTGTTTCCTTTTGTAGTTGGTTTTTAACATAATTTTGTATCAGTTTTTAACTTTCTGTTTTCAGTAAATTGCATTATTTTAATCCTCTTTTCTCTACATTGAAAAATAGACAAATTTGCTAGACAATTTATTTGAATGTTGTCTAATTGTAGCAATTGTTTTAAGAGGAGTTGGTGAATGAAAAATTTTTTTTAATCATTGGGAACTACATCACAATTACAAAGCAAGGAAATACAAATTAAAGAAAACATAACTCATTGAAAAGCTATATATCAGCTTAAGGTGGTAAATATGGTTTTTTTATTTAATTGAATTGTCAGTTTTGTAATTTTTAATTTTTTGTAAATTATATTTCGTTAATCTGATATTCTTGTTTTTTGTAACGGCTGTGAAGCTGTAACTTTTTTCTAGTCTAATTGTAAATATATATGGTAACTGTCCGTTGTACCTCCTTTTTAGAATAAGCTGATAATAAAATGTTACAGTACACAATTTTAATTATTTACTCTATTGGTAATGTTAATGTTTTAATTAGTAATTATTTTTATTAATTTTTTTAATATAGTACAATTTTTCCACGCAAACACACACACACACACACTGATCACTTTATAAAGATCTATTAAATTCATTTTTAGAGCTCACCATTTATTTGATCATGCAAAACAAAACTCATCATGTTATGTGTCAGATGATGACAAGCAACTAGTATAAGAAAAACTTGAAAATGAAAAACTTTGGATTTCATTCTTCTGATGCTTTTTTTGTTTTGTTGAATAAAACAAAATTCACTCATACACCTGTGCAGTGATTTATTCTACATGCCTCCTACCACTGATATTTTCACATTTTATGCATTTGATGACAACATGTGAGGGAAAGATTTGTTTGTGAATGCTTGGAAATCCTGCTCTCACACTTTGACGTACAGACTTATCATGGCTAGTCTGTAAGTAAAAGGTAAGAGCAGGAAAATAAATGCTTGTATATCAGAAGTCATTGTTATCAAAAATTGTTTTTTGACTGTTCAAAAGTGTGTCACCCGATTTTACAAACAGTGGCAATCAAAAGGACTACATTTGTCACTAGAAAAAACTGTCGCTGTCAATTGCTGATTGACAAATTGAGGGGAAAAAGTTACTTAAGAGGTTTGTAGAGTGCAACATATATCAGACTGTGATTTGGACTTGACTACTTCCAAGCATACAGTGTGAAGGATATTACAAAAACTGTCATATGATAGCTGACAAACAACGTACACAAATAAAAAAGCATGATATCAGTGGTTATTAGATCTCACAATGGAAATGAATGACTGGAAGGGTATGACGTGATCTGATGAGTCAAATTTTATCCTTTTCTCTACTGACAGAATGAGTTAAAAGTATAGAGAAAAACACATTAGACACTTGGTTTTGTTTATGATATTCAGACAGTAATAGTAGTAATGTAATGGGATGAGAAACATTCTCATGACAGTAGTTATGTAATTTGATTTATAAATTGCAAAGAGGATCCAGATTTTAACCGAACATTGTTACTCTAATATTGACCCTTAATGGACAAAAGCTCCCCCAATACAGTAATGCAAGGACCTATAAAATTGATATTGTCCAAAATTGCTTTGAAATGCATGTCAGTGATTTTAGGTATCTTTCTTGATCAGCACAAGTCTGGATCTCAGTCTGTTTCATAATCTTTGGGGTGAATGTTAAGGTCACATTTACCATTATAATTCTCTGCTGACATCTATCAACCAATTGCAGACCATACTCCTTAACAAATGGATCATGGTTGAACAAAACCTTTCAGACTCAAGTCTTTCCCACAATCTGTTCAGGGTATTGTAATAGAAGGTCGGCAACCAAGTAAAAGGTGAAGGTCTGAATAAAATAGCAAAATACATAAATATAACTGGTCATTGGGACTAGCTTGAGCAAAGTTTCTTGTGTTGTACTACATTTAGGAGTTTATTTAATCTTTGAAATCCTTCATTTTAATGGATTTGTTGTGAGCTCTGTTTAGAAATTTGATTTTCAAGGAATTTCAAAATTATTATTTGTCTTAATTCTCAAAACCTCTTCACTGTTGAAGCATCTAATTTTATTATTTTGTAAAACAAGTGACAGATGATTTTTCTGTCTTCTATAATCCTACATGAAAACTTTAAAGTTAATAAAAGAAATTAAATGATCTTTTGTGTATTTGATTTATGTCAGTTACTAGTTTTCTGGTTTATTGGAGGCTTAAGTACTTTATTGTATGATATCACATAAAAATAGTTATATAACATACAAATTAAAATATTTCATATAACTCTACCATCATTCAAAAGAGTTGAACAAAAAGTTTAATGTTTCCTGTAGTAATAAAATTTTAGCACTGTAAACAAATCATGTTATAAGGTTTAACAAAAAGTGATACCAATGAAGTCTGTTTTTTGAATAAAAAATTGTCTCATTTAAAACTTGTACGATATTTGTTTATTGGGTATTGGGTTTTATAGCATGACTGAAATCTGATAATGACATTTGGTTGTATTTCTTTTGTTAACATTTAGTGTAATTATAGAATGTATGAAACTGAAATGTTTTGATTTTTTTGTCTGATTTAGATATTGCAGAATTTAAAAGTGAATATTACAAGATAAAGTGGAAAATTTCACATGCATGTAAAGATATATTAAGTGTTATTTTTTTTAGTTTTGTAGTAAACATAGTTCACCTTTATGGATTTTTTATTGAACTTGTTATGTTTGGAAAGTACATAGCTAAATGTTTTGCATGTGCCTAACAGAATTTTTTTATGTAATTATTATTAATAGTCCAATTTTTAAACTATATGCAAAAAACAAGAAATTTTTGGTTTAGTGTATGGTAGGTTAGATGTATTATTGGTACTTTGATCTCTATTTTATTATCTGTGTAGAGTGAGATAACATCACTTTACATCTTAAAATTGAGAAAATTAGTTATGATACAGTCGTATTGTTTGTAGCTGAGTGATCACATCTGTCAAAATGGATGTTACTTGGTGTATATGTATTCTGGCTGTCCAAAGGGTGATTACATTTAGTAAATGTTAATCCAAGTTAAGTCTTTTATTATAACTGGCTCTGTCCTTAGTGAAGTTTAGCTATTTGACAAGAGATATTCTTCCAAAAGAGAATCCTCTTTATGGTAAAGAAAAGAATGAAGTGAAGTGCAAATAACAAAGTACCAAAGGTTTGTTCTGTCCAAATGTTGACACTTCTATGTAAAATGGTATACTAATAACCATTTAGAAAGTAACATCTTATGCTCTTCATATGAATTATTTTGTATACTGTTAGCTTTTATTTAACTTTTTTACTTACATCGTGTGTGTAACAGTGTTGAGTTAATACTTTATTTTCAGATACATTTTTAATAATCATATATCATTAATTTGGATATCCTGATTATCAGGTGTAACAGACAAAAGTTAGGTGTTATTATTACCAGATACAGCAGTTAGTTGTTACTTTGCTTTCATATGTTTCATGAATAGCATTATAGAAATTATTTAGTTATCATCATTGTTATTATCAGGTGCAGAAATAGATGGTTTTGGCTATTATTATTCTCATCAGATATAGTATGTGGTGGTTGCTTATGGTAACTTCAGCATTGTGTACTGTGTTCTAGTTGAAATTGTTTGATGGATTGTATGCATCTTAATTACTTGAAATTTAGAAAAAGAAAGTATTTGACACTTTCAGAAGCAAAGTGTTTTTTAAATTGATTTTACTGATTTTTCTATATAGTTGAATTTTTTGATACGAGTTATTTTACTTAAAAGCAGACTGTATTTAGGTCCTAGAATAACATTACAAGTTTATTTGTAGATGGTATTAAGTATAGTATAGTTTAGTCCTGACTAAGTTAATGTAAAGAACATACACTGTACAGTGTTAATTTCTTATTATCAAACTTAGGCCTAACATTAGTTAAGGTTTTATAAAGTATGACCTAAATACAAGTGGACTTGCATATTTTGGTGTCTAAGAGTACATTTCTACAACTCATTCTTTTTTTTTCTTCTTAAGTCAGATGAGAAATGTTTTATATGTGAAGCTACTTCTGGATTAGCACATGATCTTCTTTCTTCTAAAACAGTACAGGTGAGAGTAACTGATATTTTAAATTCTTTTCATTTATTCATTTCAGAGCTTCTATTTTTTCCTGTTAATATTGTGTAAAATGCTTACAAATATTAGCATTTCATTTATAGGTTTATTTCTGTTTCTTATAATGTTTTTGATATAATATTTCAATTGATTAGGAAAAGTCAGAATTTTTCATCTTCATATAATATCTTGTGACTGCTTTGTGTATACTTTTTAAACTTCGTTGTATTTCTTAATATTTCAATTCTTTTCTTTCTGATGATTATTAGGACAAACTGGAGAACTTAACCTTGAGTGCTTGCTCTTTGGTTGAAAAGTGGATACCAAAGGTATGAAAAGATTGTTTTTAATGAATTAAAAATAATAGCAACCATATACTCTACACTTGTAGATATTAGTGAAATTCTTAAAGAAGTTTGTTTTCTGTCATTTTGTCTGTTTGCTAATTATTGAATTTGTAAAACTTAATACTAATTTGTTTATATATATATATATATTTGTCTTAGTATTGTTTATTTTTCATAAATTGAAAACAATCTGACCAGCCTATTGTTAGGGCCTGGCATGGCCTGGTAGTTAGGGCACTCACTTGGTAATCTTCATGTTGCATATTTGAATTCCATCATTAAACATGCTTGCCCTTTCAGTTAATTCGATTATTTGATTAGAGTAGCCCAAGAGTTGGCAGTGGGTGGTGTTGACTAGTGGCCTTCCTTTGAGTGTCACTTTTAGATTAGGGACAGTTAATGTAGATAGCCTTGTAGCTTTGAACAAAATTCGACAAACAAACAAGCTTATTTTTCATATTTTTCCTTCCTAGGTTGAATTTATATAAACATGAACAAAATCATTTGAAAGAATCTAACAAATAAGTTAAAGAAGGTAATTATTGTTTTAGACATAGTAACGGTTACTGAAGTATGTACACTGTCATGTTTTATTTCATAATTTTGTTCATACACTGCTTTCTTAGCTGGTTATACTGATGCAACTGTATGATGTGCTTTGATGAACCCCTTGAGAATGCCTGCTGATGGTCATTGAAATTTTGGTTGTTAAAAATGAATAGATAGATATTTAGTCGTACATTTTCATATGATGATAATATTAAACATTAGTCCAAAATTATGATTTATAAAAATCCTGATATTTGTTGCTTATGATGCTACAATGGCCAAGTAATAAATGATCAATATGTTGAAAGTAATGTTTTGTTTATTACAACAGTGTAAACTATACTCTCCTTATTCTTAAATAATCTGGAGAGAGAAATTTTTAGATAAGTATAATGTTAGTTTGTTTCAAGAAAGAAGATCCAGTATTAGTATACTATCATTTTTTGTGACATGTATTACTTATACTGAGTGCTGCTTTTTTGGAAATTAACTTAGTGTCATACGTATTAATAAGTATTTGAAATTGAAAAGGTTTTAATTATTTGTCAGAATATAATTATTGTCAGAACTAATACTTTAAATATGTGTGGATGTTTTAGATTTCTGTGCTTGCTTATAATCAGTTTTATGGTTGTTTTATCAGTTTGGAATAATCATGAACATTATTTTTGTAGTGTTCAGATGATGTAGAAAAATATTTTCCCCAGGTGATGGATGTACTTCAGACTATTACAGTAAGTTAATACTTTATTAAAGTGTAAAGCATTAAAATTGCATGCCATTAACTTATTTGTATTTTTTTATTCTTATTACTTGCTGTTTACACCATGAAAAGAGAAATGTGTATTTGTATATAACTAAGTATTAGCATTTGACCATGCTACCCAACAATTTTGTTTAATACTAGACAAGCAAACGTTTCTGTTCATGAAAACAAGATGAATATGTATAATGGCTTAATGTTTTTGGTTGAATGTACATATTCCTAAAATATATAATACTGACTTAATTTTAATGACTAGGACAAGAAAACACTGTCAGTTAACAATTTGATTTATCCTATATGAGATTTTTCAGATTTTTTCGATTATCTATAAAGAAACTTTAGACTTGGTTACAGATGTTTTGATCTCATTCATTTTGATAGATTGACCATACAATGGAATCCATTTGAAGCCAATTTCAGAGTTACCTAATAAACAATACTGTGGAAATATATTTCTTTCTTTATCAGCTAATGTAGTCATTTATCACATTAATACTAGTTATCTTTCCAGCTTATTTTGCATGACCTTTTCTCTTTACAGGACCCAACTTGGTTATGTGCCTTTCTAAAATTCTGCCCATCCACTAATGTGAGTAGTTTCAACTAAACTATTGTATATGAAGTGGTTAAAACTCATTTTCTTTGCTTTAGTATTTAATATAGAAAATCATTAGGATCATGTTGGAAAAGATTAATTCACTAGGCAAACAAAAATGTACTGTTCTTGAAGATTTTGAACTTATAGGGGAAAAGTATCCAAAGTATTTAATTACTTCAAGTTAAACATTTTAACTTTCTGTTTCTGTATTTTATTTTTTAATCTCTGATAGTAATTGAAATACTCCATGACTTTGTTATAGCCACCATCAGTGGACTTTGGTGGAAATAAGTGTGACATGTGCGAGATCCTGGTGAACAATGGTCTTGATGTAATGTTAATGCCTGAAGTGCAGGTATGTAATGTGAATTTTGGGTTAATATGCTAACTTCTGAAGTAATTGTATACATTTCTGCTCTTAACCTTGTGAAGACATACTAGGTAAATTTGACTGACCTTTCAACAATCATGTAGCCATAAAACTATACATACTATTACCTCGAGTATTTTAAGTACATCTTCTCAAGATGTGGCAAAATTTTAAAAAGCAATATAATACACAAAAAAAATATCAGATTCTGTAATAGTGTTTTTTACTAATGTTTTGTTAAGTAATTTCCAAAGCTTTTACTGTGTCAATCTAACTGAAAGGTGAATTTTCATGATAAGAATAAAAATATTTCTTTTCACCTTAGATTTTAATTTATTTGCATAACATCTAGAACCTACTAAATGATTATCAAAATTATTTTTTTTGGGAGGGGACTTTAAACTTTATCTCTTATTTTATTTACCATAACATTAAGTGTAAGGAAATCATCTGTAGTAAAAGTTGAAAAAAAATCAAAGATCAAATATCTTTTTCTATAATGACTGGACTATAATGAATGAAGCTTGTACTGTGAGTGAAATTGATGCTTATCTATTCAGAACATAATGTTATACATTACGTCATTTGATAGATGAAAACCTTGACTTTCCATTGGTTATAAGTAATATATAATTAAGTGTAAAAGAGAACTATTAACAAAGCATGAAAGAGAGGATGTGGCAGGAGATGTGTGATTTCATATTTATAGCTCTGTAACCAAAAAAATTGAAGGCTGTAAAAAATTGTGGTTCTTATGAGCAGTGACGTTTCTATAGAGAGTAATTTACGCTTAATTTTGTACTTTTTCAAGGGGTAGTGGATAGAATAGCAATGACGATGCCAAAAGAAAATGTCATGAGTGTCACACTAGGGGAAATTCAGGATACTTTGTAATATTGCCTTGTACAATTAGGAACTTAAAACTTGTATACTATTAAAATATGGGTTATTAGCTACAATTTTATGCTATACTAATTGGTGTAACATAAACAAAAAAGTAGTTTAATAAAATTTTGAATGTAAAACAGTAAAACTTTGTCGTGTAGTAAAGGATACCCAGAGTGAAAGGGTTAACTTTCTCACTATGGGCTTGGTCAATTCAACCCCCAAATTGACCTTTAATTTGCGTACTATAACTTCTAATATTTTATGTATTTTCACAAAATTTCAGTAAGCATTAAGAGTCATTTGTAGACAAAAAATTCTGTAATTCTATTTCAATAAAAATTTCTTCATGAATATATGGAGTGAGAAGTATTGACTACTATGAGTGCAAAGTGATTTTCATGTTAAGTTTAAAAATACTTTTTTCATCTGAAAAATCTCAGATTTAATTTGTGTAATCTCTAAAACCTAAATAAATTTCAAATGTTTATTTTCAGTAAAACTATATTTTATCTGTTATTTTCTGTACCCTAAATTTATGAGGTTGGTTAATTTGATCGACCTTGTAACCACCAAAAGAAATAAAATCATAATTACCCTTTTTTTCCTTTCTAGAATGACTTCATATTGTAACGTGACTCTACATTTGTTTATCCTAAGTAGCTTTAAACTCATAACATTATACATCTTTTTTATACATAAATTTTATTGCTCTTACTGTGTCTTATTAATATTTTTGCACCAGAAGCTGTAAATAACTTGGCGAACATGTATCTCACATTACTCTATTGAATTACATAATACATGGGCTACTAGTGACTTGCTTGTTAGCATAACTTGTGGAAAATATTTCTTCTTTCTTATTTTATGTAATTTCACCTAAAAAGTTTTTAATTCTCAAATTTTAGTAACTTTTATAATAATAAACATAGAATACCCATGAAAAACAAGAAATATACTTGGGGTCTTCTTTTTTTTTTATATACTGCACTAGATATGTTTTTATTTAATTAAATAATGCATTAAATATCACAGAATAATAATACACAAAAAGCATACAATGTTCTATAACTATCACAATTTTTCTGGCTTTTTAACTAAAGAGACATTAAAATTCAGCTAAGCTCATCAATGTGTTTCCTGAGGGAATAAGGTTTGAACTGGAAACGAATAAGTCAATTCTCTGTACAGGAAACAATGTAATATAATACATTATTCAATAGATTAAAACCTTGTCTTTCTATTGGTATAAGTATTATTAAACACGAGAAAGTACTACTGGCAATTTGTGAAGGAGAGGATGTGACAGGTGGGTGTGGCAAGAGGGGTCTGATTTTTTATGTTATGGCTCTGTATCTAAACAAGATTGAAGGCTATAAATATTTTGCTTTGCCTGAGTTATGACAACACTATAATGAGTAATTTACATTAAATTTCTTACTTCTTCGAATGGTGGTAAATAAATTAAAGAAGAGGGGATACCTAGAGAACAAATGTCATAATTCTCATACTAGGGGAAATTGAGGGTTTTTTAATGTTGTCTTATAAAAATTAAGAATGTAAAGCATGTATAATATTATTAGTTATTTTCATTCTTAGTTTATTTGTATACCATGAAAGAAAATAGTTAAACTCAATTTTTAATGTGACTCAGTTACCCTCGTGACATGTGCAGAAAAGGATGCCTGTAGCAAGAGGTTAATAGGTTAGAAAAATTCCATTACTGTTCAGACCAACATTCTAGTCAATGTGGGAGAAATAAGATATAATTTTGAAATCTGATATTCTTACTGATCAATATTTATAATGTGTACTTCTAATTGATTAAACAGTCTGAAGCTGTCATAACGGAAGGGAAAAATCTATAAATCAGAAGTTGGAGTGCCATCAAGTCATTGATTCAGAGGTGCAGATTGAGAATTTACTTAAATATTTTCTTTTGAAATTAAGAAATTATAAACTGTTTTGTTGTCATGTTTATTAACATACATTAATAACAGAATAGTTTAACTAAATTTTGAGTGAAACTATAGAACAGTCTGTGGCATGCACACTTTGACTCTTCCATCTCTGCAAGGTTAAGAGGTTTCTTGTTGATATATGATAGTAGTAAATTTTGTAATTATTTGGTTTCCATTTAGTTCTTGAAAAATGCTACACTACTATGCACTGTTTTGGTGAATTGGCAAAGATTGAAAGTACATAATGCACACCTTGTTGCATGTTTTTTTATGAGAGTCTTAAGACCACAGCCGATTTACACAACAGATGAAAAACGAAATGAATGTTTCAACAAGTCAATAATTGTGTTGGTAAATGTGCAATTTTAATTTTGTGACAGTTAAACTTTCTGGGCCAAGTGAACCATGCCAAATTGTGGATCTGAGGTTTTGCACTCTTTCACTGGAAAAATGACAACAAAAACACACATGCATTCCACAGTTTGAAGCAATGTGTGTGTTATAAGAATGACAGTCAAATTTCACTATTGCATTAGAGTAGCCCAAAAGTTGTTTATTGGTGATTTTGACTAGCTATCTTTTATTTAGCCTATCACTTCAAAATTAAGGACTGTTTGGATAGCCCTCAAGTGGGTTTGAGCAAGGTTCAATAAACAAAATGAAACTATCATATCAAACCTGTTGTCACAAAATTTGTATTCACTGTTTTAAACAGCTTCTACTGATGTATCATGTATGTGTCTAGTTGATTAACCTTGTGTGCATATTATGACTTTAACAGAGTTACATCAAAAATTAAATAAGAAATTTATTGTTGTTGTTGTCAGTAAAATTGGCATTAAAATGATAGTGTAATTCATATGTTTATATTATCTAAGTTTTAGTTTCTTAATTGTAAACGAAAATATTTAAATAGTCAGTCTGCACCTCTAAGTCACATGGCTTGGTAGCAATCTTATTTTTCATTTATAACTTTTCTCTCACTTTATAATGGTCTCGGATTACGTAACCAATTAGAAATACATACTATACATTTTCAGAAACCAGAATATAAAATTTCAAACTCTTCTTGATTTCACTGCATTTGTTTAACCCACATGACATGCTCCTCCAGGTTTTTGTTTTTTAAGAATTGTCTATAATTCTCTATGACATTATTATTATTAGACATGCTTCTAACCAACAGGACTATTCTAAACTACATAAATCAGATTATTGTTTTGTTTTAGTGAGGAGTTTACAAGGATTTAAGTCTATGTTAAAGATATTGCTATGAGCCTCTTTATAGCATTGTTATAAAACCAGATAAATTATAGTAGTTTTGGGACATTCTGTTCTAGTGTGTGATATATTTTTTGTGTTATAAAATGCATGTTTGAAAGTTACATGAATTATTTTGTAAAACAATCAGTATAGTGGGAGAAAAAGAAGTTTATTAAACTACACACCTAAGTGTGAAAGGTCTCGATGTTGAAATAAATATTAAATTTCTTTTATTATTATTATTATCTACATTTAAATATCTTTTAGCAAAAGTAACAAATTTAAAAAGTAGAAATTATTATGTTATATAAGAGAACTTGCATGAAAAAAATTGTCCTCAAGGAATACCCACAGGTTTCCACATGTGATATAATTTAATTGTTTGTTTACTTTAAGCTCTCTTCACTCTTGATGGGTGACTTTTTGTTTTGTTACATAGTTAATTAGACATGTTTCAAAGAACAATAACACAAATTTAAATGAAAGCTGTTGTGAAATGGTTAGAGGCCACAGCTGTTAGGATAAATTATTGTAATTTTCTGTAGTCAATTTGTAGTCAATTTAGAAAGTATGAAACTTTTTACTTAATTTCATAATTTTTTTAACTTTTCTTTCCAATGATTTCATGACAGAAAGTAGTATTCACTTATGAAGTTCTAGAGAAGTTAAACAAAATATGAAAAGTATTTTTATTCTTAACATGCAGATCTTCCCTCACATTGACTCAATAAATGCTTTGGGAATTTACAAATAACTCAACACTACTGTATTACAAGTTACAGCTCTTACAGTAAGAATATTTTTAGGTGCAGAAATATTTTATTCAGAATTAATTTTTTTTTATGTATAAAACAGACTTCTAGTGTTTATTACTAAAAGCTTGGCCATTGTCATTGTCAAATTCAGAATTATAATGAACATTACTGTGTGTAATTTCACCAACATGCTTACTCCAATGGTCTGTATGGTATTCACAAAAATAAATTATGCCATATTTTCCCTTGAGGAAATTTAATATACAAAATAAATTCAGGTGATACATTTTTTTTTATATATAGCTTATTTAATGCCCAGTTGGGTGAATCCTCTCCAGAGGGCAGAGTTGTGCCATTGAATTGAAGTTGTAGAAAATAAACTTTTCCATACATTAAAAAAGCAAAAGAAAAACAATTTCACAGTTGAAATTTATTCAGTGAAATATTTCACTTATTTAATTTTATATATAAAAAAGTTTAATATTGCAAATTTTGGTCTTGGATTGATTTCCATATGTTCCTAATGGAATTGTTAGTGTTTGATAATTTCCTAATTTTATTTCTCAGAATAATATGGCACTTTTAGCCTTCCAGATGGAAAGTCTTAATAATTTTGGACAAAATAACACCATTTTTTTTTTATTCTCTTGAACTTTTTATGCAGTAAATCTTTCATTTCAGCTGTGATTTGATTAAGAGTCAGAAAAGTAGTAAAAGATTAGCTTGGCAATTTTTTGCTAGAAGAAATTTGCCTATGAACAGTTTCTGCTACAGATAGTCCTAATTTTTTTCTTTTAAAGCATGTGAAAAGTTTCTTTATCATTTCATACTTCATTTGAATTTGATGACGAGGAACCCACTTTGAGACTAATAATGGCTGGAGACGGCTTGAATGGGTAATGAAGAAAAACTTTAATATAACAGCAAATGTACAACCTGATGGTGACAAAACCTTGTCGAAATGTTGTACATTTGCTG